CTTCTCCATCTTTGGCTGCAAAGTATGTAATCAATCTGGTTTCGGTATTGACCATCTGGTGATGTCCATGTGTAGAGTCGTCTCTTTTGTTTTTTGAAAAAAGTGTTTGCTATGACTAGCTTGTTCTCTTGACAGAACTCTATTAGCCTTTGCCCTGCTTCATTTTGTACTCCAAGGCCAAACTTGCCTGTTATTCCGATTGCTCCTTGACTTCCTACTTTAGCATTCCAATCCCCTATGATACTATGATATACTATGATACAGTATACTATTAATGTATTACATTTCCGTCAAGAAATATGTATAATTAGTACACACAATAAAAGTCTTACACTGATTTCTATTTTTAAATCATTATGGTTTCTACAATAATATTAAAAAAATGGAATTTTGTTACTTGAAGTAATGATAATTTTCATCTGTTACTTTGGAATAATTTACAAAACATATAATCTACCCCAGTCAATATAAAGGTCATCATGAATCCAGTATAAACTACTCACGCAGTGAATCCATTGATCATATGAGCATATCTAAGCAATACAAGATCAAGCCAGCCGCATCTTCTCTTTCGCCCTGTGGTCACACCAAACTCTTTTCCTCGTGTCTGTAGCAATTCCCCAATTTCCTAAAACACAACACAACAATGATGTTACTATCTTGGAACAATTATATCAACTTATAAACCAAAAGTACTTATACCAAAAAGAAGTATATTTTACATTCTATCCAAGTAATGTACATGTAACAATGCTAAAAACAGAAATACAGAAGCTACCTTTATTAATGCCAGGTATTAATTTGAAAATACTAGCAGGATAAGCAATTATCTCATAAATCTATGTTGATTGCATTTACTGCCCACCTGCTATCTCGCAGGGGTTTTTTGTTCATTTATTGATTGCAAAGTTCTGAAATTCTTGGCAATTTTAAACTCTCATTATTTCCACTTAGGGAGACACATTCATAAGAACATTGCTACTTCTAACATTCTTTAACTGGAACTTAGTTAACAATTATGCTGAAGAGTTATGAGAAAATAGAATTCAGTTTGCTCTTCAACAGAAATACCAGCTCTGCAGGATTGAGGATCAAGCAGTTGTTAAAAGTCTCTACTGTTAGGAAAATAGCTATGAAATCTTTAAGTAATATTATGGAAAATCACATGCATGCACTTGAGGTCATGTATGCTTATTTATTTTAATATTATACTTACATTGTTTTGTTCTGTAGGAAAGGCACCAATCCCAACTCTAGTTGTATATGCTTTCACAACTCCATATACTTCACCCACATTCTGAGGTGGCATACCTAAGCCAGTGCAAACCCCTCCCACAGTGCAATTTGATGAGGTCACAAAAGGATAAGTACCTATTAACACAGGTTAATAAAGGGTACATAGATTTGTATTGTTACAATGAAAGCTATTGAGCAGTGTATAACTGGGTTTTAGCCACGGTTCTGCTTTTTATACCAATAAATATTTCCACTGAGGTATACAGCTGCAACTCTTGTTTATATTTTATAGTAATAGCAGCGATTTTATTTAACTTACTTGTAATGGTCTACTCCAGACAAAATTTACAGCTCTCTGCAAGGATCTGTAGCATCTGCAGCATAACTATATTGCTGCTTAATTCAGAAGTGATTTCTAGTAAAAGCTCCAAATTATGTATAGTATCTGAACATTTGTTATATGTTATCTAATAAAGCTGCACATATTTATGTTCCATTATACAACCACAGTATCTAACAGAAGAAAGGTATATCTATTTCCAAGGCTTCTTTTGGAATGCAGGATTTTTAAAGTACATTTCTTGGTAAAAAATTTAAAGGGGAAGACTAGTTCCATTTTGGGAAACCTATCCCAACATTCTACATTTCAAATTCTAGACAATTCTATTAAAAATATATTTTTATCTCTATTGTAATTAGAATGGAAATAATATTCACAGAATTTGGCAATAATTTTCGATATGTTCTAGTTAATAAGTTTTTCAAAATTATTTATATTATCTAAAATTTATAATTCTACCAAAACAAACAGTTCTATGGCACATTAAAGACTAAGCTGTAGCATAAGATTTAATAGAACAAATTATCCCAGGCAAGTGGGATAAAATCACTCATCGCTTAAGGACATGAAAAGTAATTTGAGATGTTATTTACATAATAATCACGTTTCAAAAGTGAATCCATTTTGATATTCATACTTACCAAAATCAATGTCCAGTAATGTCGCATTTGCGCCCTCCACTAAAATTTTCTTTGGAGGGCCATGCAAAGCTTCATACATAAAATATACACCATCCTTCACCATTGGTTTGATTCTTTCAATATAGCCCTAGACAAATAAGTGTGTTGCAGAGATTAGGATTAAATTATTACATCATGATATGCAATAAATACTTAGTAAAGTTTGGTTAATAAGATTTAAGTACAATGCAGATATTGTGCTAAATAAATTAGCAATAATATCTATATGTCTTCTCAACCCAGTATCCTTTATTGGAGTTGAAATTCAGAGCACTGGATTGTGCCTGCTTGGTGAAAGCTGGTTTAAGCCCCCTGTTTTAAATGTAGTTATGAATGCCAATAGTGAGCTAATCTATCCATGAAAGAAAAAGGTATGTATGAATGTGACTAAGCAGTAAAGTATTTAAAGGAAACAAAAAAGTTCTTTCTTACATTAAAAATTAAGAACATCCCCATGGGATCAAATCAAGAGTCTATCTGATCACACTAACAATAGTTGCCAACCAAGTACTCTTAGCAACATTGCAAACGTAACAGGAAGGCAATTAGTCACTCCCTCCCCTTGGACTCAGAGCAAATGGTATTATTCTGAGGTACCCCTCTTCTAAATCTGAATCTTGATTTCAGTATCATACTTATAGACATTTTAGACCTCTAATAAATCTGACCTATATCCTTTAAAGTCAGTGATCAGCACCACATCCTGCAACATTAAATTCTATAAGGGCTTGCTTTTTAACAATTCCTCTTTCTTAAAGAACAGTACAGAGCCTTATTAATCTTCTGTTTGAACTTAGTGCTTTGTCACTTCTCAGTTACCTTCTATATTACACATTGTCTCCACATTGGTGGAAAAGTAAAGCGAATTATAATGATCTTATTCTAAAGGAGGGCACAATGTCTTTTAAGCAGCTGTTGTCTCTTCAAGCCCCATCCATGGGGTTCTAGTTTGATGAGGTTCCTGGCTCAGAGCTGAAGTTTAGTGTTGGTGTAATTATCAGCGATAGTGATGTTTCTGATCCTAATAATTTCTCCTCCTGGCCACTCAGGATTATGGAACTTCTGTCTGTACCAAAATTTCTACCAGTCAACTCCACTAGGTGATTCTGAGTTCTAATACTATAAAACACTGCATAGTATTCTAACGCTATAAAACAAATGCTTATCCATCCCTAAGACAAGATTCCTATAATAGATTTTCACAAGAAATATGAGCTTCTAAGAGCTTCCTCAAATTATCTTGTTTGAAACAGAGAAACAGAGAATTCACCATGGAACTATTTTAATCAATAAATACCTTTCTAAAGAAACATATACGCACAATGACAAACTTTTTCTAACATCTCTGAAATCTTCATGCAGATAGTTATCACTGTTGTTGTTTTCTGTGTTTTTTTTTAAGCCCTTTCATTAGAAGAAACATACATAGAAAAATCCATCAGCTAAAAGGCCAATTCTATGATTTTACCTTTAATCTTTTCAATTCCCCTTCAATGTCAATCTCTAAGGTAGGGTAAATAGACTTGTATTGATTGGCCAGCACTTTGAATCTAAAAAGTAAAAAAAGTTTATATTCTATTATATTTGTAAAAAGTTTGCACAAATCTTTGATATACACTTTGATTTTAGAAAGTGAAAGAGAGAGAGAAAATTATAAGTGAGAAATCCAGCAAGGATTTTTTTTAGAGTATGAAAATCAGAATCTACAAATAAGAAAACTGATTGCCCTAGTAATAAACATACACGAATGTAACATTACACTAGAGAAATTGTTACCTTTCTGAAAATTCATTGAAGTCAGAAACTAGATCACACATTCTGAGCCCACTTCGAGCTGCTTTAGAAGAATACACTGGACCAATTCCCTTTTTTGTGGTTCCCAAGCTTTAAAACACAAAAAAATAAAAAAAAACACACACACATACTACACAATCTGGTTGACTCTCAAATGTGATGATTCATTTTTTGTTAATATTTTTAAAAATAAAATTCATTTTGGTGGTTTCTACTTGCCACTCATAGGAGTTAAACTTGCTCTCATGTGAGCATCCAAGGGGAGGACTGAAAAAGGGAAGAGTGCAGGCATATGGGATAAAAGATAGACAACCATTCCCAGTGGCAGACTTTTGCAAACACTGATATAAATAATTTAAATGTGTGTATGTGTATGCATGTGTGTGTGTGTGTGTGTATATACACACACACACACACACACAGTTTAAATATTACCTTTCTGATGTTAAATATGATAAACATATAAAAATACACATTTATTGTACATTACTTAAAAATTTACACATTTTTTTACACACATCTCACTGAATTTTAATGGTATGATGTTAGAAATAGCTTTAACATAAACTGGTATGTAGAAAATATCTCAAACAGGCTGGCACATTGCTAAATTTTAAGATGATTAAAATTAAAACTGTACAGATATTATCATTCAAAGTGGTCAAAAAGTTTTCTTTCATAGTTGGAAGTAAAACATATGCTGTCCTAAGTCCTATAGTATATATTTCTAATTTGACCCTCAAATTATTCATTGGGTAGTTTATAAATCTTTTGGCCTCTAACCATAAATAAAGTAAATAGTTTATATGTTGTACTAAAGTTTGTTTTAACTATAGTTTGTTGAACAAACCAACATTTAAGCCATAATGAAATGTTGGTCTTTCAAACCACAACAGTTGAATTCACACATAATTCTGAGCCTAAATCAGGCAAGCCACATAATGGATGAATGTAATATATGATCTCAGCTACTATATATATAAGAAGCAGAAAGACTGTACTATACTATGCACCAAAATGCTCTAATATTACTCAGAATATTACTCATCTGCTCCAACGTTCAATACAAAGCTGAAAGCACTAAAGCAATTTAAGCATAAATGCCTCTTATATATGGGTTTTGCAGTTGTTAAATCTTAGTATTTAGACCACTGAGTCAAAGTTAACCTACTCTTCAGATACTGCAGAAGAAAACCCCCCAAAACTGATCTGATATCTGCACTTCTGCAGTTTCAGGTGTGATGTCAGAGGGAATCCTTAATCAGTCTGGAATGGAGCAGCATAGAAATCTTAGTAACTAATAAGTAATAATATAGTATACTAATATAATAAATTGAATAATGTGAATCAAATGGTAAAAATATTTTTGCTAATTTGTTGGCACAACCAGATTTTATTTTGTTTATTGTTATTTGATATCAATAGCTAAAAAGCATTCTACTTTAAACAAAAATTATATTCTGAAAGATAGCAAATATTAAAAACACAACTAGCCAGAGTTGTTATAGGATTTTGGATCTGACAATCTAGCACCCATCAAAACAACAGATACCACACCACCAGTAGTTAGATATTGCCTCTTCCTATATTGTGATAAAATGCAGTTTTCCATGTTTGCATTTTGCCTCTTAAAGGGAATCAACCAGGATGGTGCTTTTTTTAAAAAAAAAAAAGACTTATCAAATGTTTGAAAAAATTGTTTAGCACTGCATGGGTGAAACTAAAATCACATTTTTATATCTTGCCACTGTATAGGAAGGAAGAGATCAAGAAAAAATAGCTCTACTAATTTGATCATTTGTTCTTGGCATGACAGATAGAAACAAAGACAAATAAAATGACAAGCAAATAAACAGTACTATTTATCCCTTCCCACCTCGGACACATCGTCAATGATCAGCGACATAATGCTGCCATTTCAACACATTAGCACAGAGTTAGAATCTCAAATGCTTTTACTTAATATCAGCTATTTTTCCTGATTCTGACCAAGATATAACAATTAGATGCATTAGGTTTAGCTCAGGATCCCAAATCTCTAGAATGCACTGTCTGTTTACAATAACAAGTTGTAATGTGATCCTGGATGTTCAGACAAATTTTCTATTGTTGATCAAGAACAAGATTTGTATACCATAATGGGTAACTTTCTTTAGCTCCATGTTCTACCTTAGAAAACAGAGTAATATATTTTTTCTACTATATTCCTTGGGAGTCCTTGGTGTTCTCTGAGCATAGTTGTTTTCTTGCTGATGTTTTATTACCCAACGGAGTGGGCAAACAAGCTACTGTACACAAACAGAGGGCAAACCCCATTCCCTTCTAGCACTGAAGATGTTACCAGGTTGGGTAACAAAACATCTGCAAGAAAACAATCAAGCTCAGAGAACACCAAGGACTCCACAGTTCAACCCTGAGCTACATACACTCTCTTCTATTAATATTCCTTGGATTATAATACTTCCATGTTGAGGCTTACAATTTAAAAGCGAGTTTACTGTACAAACCATATATTATATGTATTCTGGTTATACCATTTGGGTTGGGGAAAAATCTAATTTTTTAAACCTTTAAACTGCCTGCCTTATCAATATATAAAAATAAGTGGGAATCTACAGATGTTTCAGGCATCCTGTAAAAACTTTCTGAATAATCCTATTATAAAATGTCCTTAAAATATTCTGGAACAATTGACTAAAAATACCTTTCATGACATTAAAAAAAAGTAAGATATTTGATAAAGCACAACATACTTTTTCCCTGCTTGCTCTTGTCTTTGCTGTTCTTGAATGCCATCAGCAGCTTGGTGGAAGTCAAATACTAAAGAATTTCAAGAGTACAAAATGAATGGATTTCTATACAAATTTATATCAATTTTGGAGATCTTCATTTTCATTAACAACTAAATAAGATTCAAATAGAAAACACCAGAAGTAGAAAAAACATGTTTATAAACTATACACTTTAATTTGGTAAGAGTGGAAATGTGGCACTTGTGAACTATGTTGTACTATGCTGCAAATAAAATTATATGTTTAAATTATTTTTTTAAACAACTTGTCAAGCAGAATATAAAAATGTGACAAATGTGAACAGTCTCAGAGTTTAATTGGGTAAGGTTTTCCTGTGCAATTTCATATACAAACGTATGGTAACACAAAGAACCCTCTGAAATTAGGGTTATAAATAACCTTTCACTGGCTGTAATGATTGCTTAGTTCCAAATTACACAGATTAATACTTTTCTCTTTAGTTAATGATCCACACCCAAATCATTCTCACACAGCCATTTACCTAGGAAAAAAACTTCCTGGTACCAGTGGAAAACTTTTTAAAATCTATTTGATGAACTGGGGTGGGTGAGAGGCTATGAAAGAGAACTAGAGGCATTCCAGATGATAGACTGCTGATTCCTTACCCATGGTTAAACAATAAATCTAGTTTATCAGTGATGATAATTGTCATGGAGAAAATCTATCTATGTGATCACTAGGAATTGAAATGACCTGATGGCACATAATCATAATAATCAGTGATGAATGTGTAACTATGATCGTGGGACTGAGACTATTTAAAGTAGTAGCAGGCAGATCTTTCCCATTCATTATAGTACTCATGGTGTACTATGAGCAACTGACACTCTTGGAAGCCTACATTTCCCAGGAAATCAGTTTTTTCCTAGATTTTTATTTTTCCTGAAAAAGTTCTCATTGCAACTGACTGCATGAGTGAAAGGTGCTAAAAACGTACTTTTAACAGATTTTCTCATGAAAAGATATCTGCTTAACTCAAGTTTTCGTTAAGCAGTGTAACACTCGCTATCTGAATCTGATGCTAACAGTGAGAAGGCAGAAATAAGTGGCTTCTTAAGTCTGGAATAGGGAGTATTCCCTGGCTGAACAATTTAGTTGCCACGCTAATGGAGAGAAGAATAACCTCCCTGTTGAAAAATTTACCTTGAAATTTAACAAAAGTCAGCATCTGATTCTAGAACCCTCAGCTGGTTTTAGAATCAGAATCTCAGTGAGACTCAATGAGACTAAGTATAATCAGGAAAAAAAGGGTTTGAGGCACACAATACTAATTATACTTGCCCCTGAATGTAGTCCTAAGATGCTACAGACATAAAAAAATGGCATTTGGAATTGCAATAAGTACTTTAAGAATTGACAACTAGCTCCTTGTATTTTGCTAAATGTTAGATCCAAGTACCCCCAAAGCTAGTTGCTAAGTTACGCTATATGGAGAGGAAATCTCAAAAAGGCCCCAGTATATACATGGAAACTTTCTGTGCAGCCTCAGGAGCCTAGCTTATATTATTGTAAAGAATTCATCAAGGAATCATGACTTCACAAAGAATCAAAATCAATACGGATACTGTTATGCATGCAATTAGTATATTTACTTACCAATATGGGCTCTGTCCGATATAATTAGCCTTTCTTCCCAGCCTTCTAAACCTTTTGAAGAAATATTAGGTAATATTCATTAATTTTACTTTTCAATGTTTAATAGTGCAATCCTATGCATATCTATGCAAGAGTATGTTCTGCTAACTCAAATGGCTATTATTATTCCCAAGTAAGTATGCATAGGATTTCACCTAACCAATCTGGGCTGATCTCAAAAAGCTATGAAGAGTCAGTCCTGGTGAGTGCTTGGATTGGAGACCATTAGGGAATTCCAGGGCTGTAAGTTAGAGGAGAAAGGAAAAAAGAAAAGGAAAAGTCCCAGAGGAAGACAGCAGCAAACCACTCCCATGTTGCTACCAAGAAAACTATATGATGATACTGCAGTTGAGTTGTACTTGGAGATCTAATTTTTAAATCCATTTTAAAAAGTGGCATTTGACAAAACACTGCAGAATGACTCTATCTGGGGCAGATAAAGCTAAGAAGTTTGAACCACAAACCATGAGACTTCTAAACCTTGAACTTTCACCAAAAACTCGTGTTTGTGCAATGAGACTTCCCCTCCTTCTCCTGCAAATCCTGTGTCCTTCAAAGCTGCTCTGAAGGATCTTCCTAGCTGATAAAACAGAGTTAGAGGACAGGACAGTGGGATGCTTCGGTAGTTTGGTTCAGATAGGTACTGGATTTAACTGAAATAGGTAGGTGTCCATTCCTCCACTTATGTGTTTCTATAAAGGCTTTTTATTTTTATGACATGCTATTAGATATTGTCTAATTTGGCATCATACTTACATAATTTCCATTTTACAGCACTGTACTGCTACAGATATTAGCTGCATGAAACAAGTATTTTCTAAGAAAAAAAGCCAATGGGAATTGTTTATCAAATTGCTAATTGGATATAAGGCAACTGAATGGGAACAACATATTAATAAACACTCAGTTCTGCTCCACCATTATGAGAAGACCATGAGAACTTCTTTCAAACACAGATAGTCCTCAACTTACAACACAATCAGGACCAGAATTTCCATTGCTATGCAATGCTGTCATTAAGTGAGTCATGCTAGATTTTATGACCTTTTTTGCCACAGTAGTTAAGTAAATCATATCATTAAATGAATCACGCGGTTGTTAAACAAATTCGGCTTTCCCCATTGACTTTGCTTCTTAGAAGGACCCTGGGAAGGTCACAAATGGCAATCACATGACCCCGGGATGCCACAACCATCATAAATACATGCCGGTTGCAAAGCACCCAAATTTTGATCATGCGACCACAGGGACACTGCAATGGTCGTAAGTGCAAGAACCGGTCATACGTCACTTTTCAGTCCCATCATAACTTCGAACAGTTGTTAAACAAATGGTCATAAGTTGAGGACTACCTGTAATAGCTTACCAAGCTATTCTCACCTTTTCCTTTTTTAACATTTTTCTCTGCTTCTTCAAACAATCCTGGCAGGTGAATTACCACACCATTTCCTGGAGAAAGCCATAAAAAAGAAAGTTCAGTGAATGTGAGGTATGTTAAGTCTCTTCCAAAGGCCACATTTTGGAGTATGGTAAAATAATGCAAATACTGTTATACACTTCATATTTTTTATCCTTTCACTTACAATATAAAAATTCTATGTATTGATGATTTTGGATTGCCAGAAAGTACTTCTTCTCATGCAAAGCAAAGCACCCTCTTTTTACCTTCTCATCACTACTCCCAATTGCTCCTCCACTGGAGCTCCTGAGGGTTGAAGCACTCTCTGGAACAATATAGGATATGGAAGGGAGGGTCATTCATGCAGTAGAGAGATTAACACAAATCTGGAGGCCCAATTTACCTAAGAGTAAGTACTCTCAGTTAGCCTAAACCAGCCACACATTTCAAATTAAAAATTTTCAGATTGTTGCGATCAACATTTAAAAGTACCACATTTATCTAAAAGAAAAACAAATCTGAATTTAAGACTGTTCTTCAAAACAACAACAACAACAACAGACAGACAGACAGAAAAGAGCCTACCATTTTCTTAGAGATAGCTTTCCCAGATATTGGGGGGAAATGATCTAATATTACTTTCAGGTAAACACAGTAATACTGTTACATAGTATCCCACTACTGCATGGTATTTGCCTATCAATATACCTGTTCCCCCATTGCTTCTGGAATGAAGGACCCATCTGAGATTTAGAGGAGGTTGTAATAACTCTCACAAAATGGCTGCCACATAGGGACATATCACTTACAATATGGTTCCTACATCATCAGCAGCCACTGCCTAGAAGACAAAATGGTGAAAATTCCCCACCTATTCTTAGCCTCCTCAAGACTGTGAGCTGCAGCTTAACTTTGTCTTCATACTGGACAAGGAGATGCCTTCCAAACAAAGCATTCAGCTACTGCCACCTGGCATTTTAATCTTCTAAGAATGTCTAGGGTACCTATGTAAGGCCAAAATACATTTTCTGAAAATAAAACTAATAGAGTCTGGCTCTTTGCTTTATACTATGCCAGCTTCTCATTACTTAGGAGAGGTGTTCATGAGTGCATTGGAACTCATTATGGGAACTTTAAGCAAGGTGTATTTTCTTATTCTCTATGGTATAACTGCTGTTATCTCTTAAAAATGTCCATTGTGAAAAAGAGCATCTATAATGTTTGCAGATGTTCCTGAAAACAGTATCCTCCAGACTCATCAAACTGCAACTTCTATCATGATGGTTGAGGATAAGGTGAGCTGTAGTCCAAGACAGCTAAAGGGGATAGGTTGTGGTGGGCTGCTCATTAATGTAGTGCTGCTGAATATGTCTGCTATATGAGGAATGCAGTTGGCCACTGCCTATCCTACTGCCAGACTTGCATGAGTGGGTATTTATTTATTTATTTATTTATTTAATTTATCAAATTTATATAGCTGCCCATTTCACATGAAGTGACTCTGGGCAGCGTACAACAATAAAATAAAACAATAAATATATAGAAACAATCATTACTAAAAAACATAAAAAATACAAAACAGTCATTCTTAAAAATGCAAACCATCAAGTACAGGAGAGAGTAAATTAATAACAGAACCATTTTAGAATATCCTCAGTCCCCTGAGACCCCAAGGCCTGATGGCAAAGCCAGGTCTTGAGGAACTTACACAATGTTATCAGGGATGGAGCCAACCTCACTTCAGGGGAGGGGGGAGAATGTTCCACAAGGTGGGCACCACTGCAGAGAAGGCCCGCTTCCTGGGACCCACCAAATGTAAGTCCCTGGCAGATGGGACCCGAAGCATGCCTCCTCTGCCAGATCTAATGGGATGGGCAGATGTAATTAGGGAGAGGTGGTCCCTCAGATAACTCAGGAAGGGCTTTAAAGGTTAAAACCAGCATCCTGAATTGGATCTGGAAGCAAAGTGGCAGCCAATGCAGCTCATGGAGCAGAGGTGTGAGATGTGCTGTTCTGGAAGCACACATAACTTCCCACGCCGCTGCATTCTGTGCCACCTGAAGCTTCCGTATACTCTTCAAGGGCGGCCCCACGTAGAGCGCATTACATTAATCCAATCTGGAGGTGACTAGGGCATGAGTAATGTGAGCAGGTATCATAATTTTTGTGGAGTCCTTGGGGTCCTCTGAGCTTGGTTCTTTTCTTGCAAACATTTCATTACCTGG